ATAATATAATTTTATATATATATATATATATATAAAAGACAAGTATTTCTTAGGAACAAAGTTTCTTATATGAAATAGGAAGCTAATAAACGGAATAATCTATTAAAAAAAACTACATTATATTTTACATATGTAAATAATATATATATATATATATACATACATTATTTGCATATCTGAAATGTAATATTTTAAATAAATTAAAATAAAAAATTTTTAATAATTCATTATGACTATTTTTAGACAAATTTAAAGTTCTGAAGCGAAATTTTACAGTTGTCAAATTTGTAGTAAAAAAATTTTTTCAGTAAATATGTATAATAATAGATATACACGTATGTATGTATATACACATAAAATACACACGGTTTCGTCAAAATTTTCATAAATGAAAAATTTAATTCTAAATTGTCTATGAACTCTCTACCAGAGATAATGTGTTTTTTAAATATCTTTAAAAATTGTCTTTTAGATAGCTTGTGCAACAAACATACCATTTTTAAAGTCATATCAAAATGCAACTTGATAAGAAATAGCAGCAATGCGTGTATGTACAGTAATATGTCACAAGTTGCAATTACGTATTTTAATATACAGGGTGTTCCGCAAGAAAATTGATAAATTTCTAGAATATGTTCTAGCTAGAGATTATTACACGCAGAAAAGTTCATATATATACTACAGATGAACTTGGCTCATTAAAATATAAAAAAATTTAATCTTATTAGCAACTAAATTTTTAACAACAATCCAGTTTTTTTTGTTCACACCAATTTTTGTTAGGTACTACAGTATCTTAATCTGAAAATTTATTGAAGATTTTGATATTTAGATAATGTTAACGTCATGTATGTGTGTTACATAATCTTGAGGTACATAATCATTCATTACCATTACAAATTTCTGGACATTTCTATTGATTTATATACTTTTAAAAGTATCAAGTAAACTGACATTGCTTTTAGAAAAAGTCTTGAATATTTAATTATGCTAAATTAAATGTGCGGACATGATTTGATAGTCTATGATATACGAACAGCAGTATGTTTGTAAACAGAAAATATTTTAAATAATTAGTAGGATTAATTAGTATGATTAAGAATAATATTTACGAAAAATTATAAATATCTGGCATTTCTTATTTGTTAGAAAATATTTATAAAATTATTTATTTCACAATAATTAAGCCAGTTTGATTTATAATGTATATGAACTTTTTTACTTAGAATAATCTTTAAAATATGTTTATTGGCAGTTTCCTTGCAAAACATCTTGCATATGTATGTGTAAATGTAGATACATGCGTATACGTACGTGTATGTATTTACATGTATACATGTATAAATAAAGAAGAATTTTATTTTTTTTCCCATTAATTAAAAAAAAATGTTGGTTAAAAAAATTCTACTTTATACTTAAATATATAAAACCTAAAAAAATTGTTATGAATCAGAAAAGCATTATAAAAAACATCAAAATTTTACGGCCTATATATTTACGAGAGATAATAACCTAGTAAACAAGAATGGATTAAAAAAAATAAAAAATTGCAATTAATTTATTCGAGTTCGTATAATAGACCCCAGAGCTAGATTAAAATGAATTAATAAAATATAAATTAATATCTGAAGACATATATAAATTCGTTTGTGCGTTCATGAACATTTATAATTTCTTCTTTACAATAAATAGAACAATATTTTTATTTCGATCAAAACAGGATTTCTATTCAATACTGCAGTACTCGAATATAAATTTAGGGCTTACATACTTTTTTTTGTCATAATTTGTTTTTATTTAAACAAACATGCGTATTTTCATAATTTTGAATGTGAAACTGTAATGTATTCATATTTATATACAAATGATATTGACATCTTTTTTTAACTGAGCTGAATTAAAAATGAGACTTCTTATTTATAATTTTGAATTGGGATGTATTCATGGCTAATTTATTTATGACATAAGTCTTTTTTTAGATTTAAATGGATATACGAAATGTGCTATTTATCATGTTGAAACTGAATGTATTCATATCCGTATTATATTTTTTTTGTTGAAATGAATTAAAATACGAAAGAGTTAATCACCATGATATATTCATAGATTCAAAATAATTCAAAATTTAGAAGCGCGAATTCAGAAATATCAAATTAAAATATCATTTATCCATTCCAATTTATTCTTGTTTACTGAAAATTGCTCTTGTAATCTCTACACTATTTGAATTAGTGGGGACAGTAAGTATATATATTCAGTCAGAACTGTCTTCGTGACTTATGCAATTTTGTAATGCTAACACGCAGTACGTATAACATACTTATATTTGAAACATTTATTCTATTAATATATTTCACGTAATGACGATTCTGCAATTGCCACTTTTCGCACGAGTTTCTTATATGCTGAATCAATGCATCAAAGAATGCATTGTTAATGTATCGCCAAAAAATTATTGGAGAAAATTCAATAAACATCGATACTATGCTACTGCAGTCAACTTAAAAGTCGATGCGGGAAACGTAGTGAGTAGTAGACTGCCTGATATAAGTGACTTTGAGAATATTTATTTGCACGATTTCATCTGGGAGAAAGTTGGAAAATGGTCGAACCACACTGCTCTGGTACGTGCAAATAGAACAATATAATATAAAATTATAATATGTTTATTTGCATTCTTCATAGTGTAATGGACGTAGTAATCATGTAATAATTTTTTTATAAATAATGAAAAATTTACGTAATAATTTTTTTATAAATATTAGCGAAAAAGGTGATAATTACTTCAATATTATTGCACTATCTATTTCAATGTTTATAAATAATGGAAAATTAACAAACTTTAGAACAAATTGAATTTTATAAATACAGCCATTATAAAATGATATGGAATTAATAATATTAATATAAACTAGGTGTTTGTGTATGTGTAACAAAATTTTATCTTACAACAATGTGATAAAATCTAATAAAATATTTCGATCCTTGATTGGGTAATTTTTAGTACAAACAATAAGAGTGCTTGATTAAAAATGTGAAGTTGCATAACTTGTAAAGAAAAAACTGTAATCTTATATTGTGTAGTGCACCATTGTTTAATTATATATTTAATAGATCGAACTGCAATGTGTCAAGATAGGGAATATTTATAAATGTATAAAAAGGATTTTGTAGGATACTTGATAAGTCCAGCACAGAGATAAACATTAAAAAAATAATCTTAAATAAAAACAATAAATACATTACTGATCACATAAAAATTGATTCATTTGTGAATCTTAACAAATATTTAAACAATTTTAATGAATATCCGATAAAAATTAAAAAGTTCTAATAACAATTTTATATGATTATTGAAACATTGATTACAAGAAAATTAATTTTACATGTTCAAAATTTATCATAATTTTGTAATTTTTACAAATACGTTTTAGACGCATAAGATAAAAGAGGAGGGGGGGAGAGAGAGAGAGAGAGAGAGAGAGAGAGAGAGAGAGAGAGAGAGATATTAAAATCATATTCGATAAATATCTAAATTTAGATATAAGTATAATCACAAATAATAATAGAATAATTGAAAATAGAAAATCAATAAATGTCTAAATTAAGATTAAATGTGACTAAAGATAATAAGAGTGAAAAAATAATACTCAAAATATGTGCAAATATTTAATAAATGTGGAATTCAAAACTTTTGAAACAATATCACTAAGTAATACTCTCTTCATCATCACAAGTGCTGATTACATTTTTGAAAGTTACTTATTGTTCAACTCAACTCACTTTATATGAAATTAACAATATCTGGTGTGCTTTAATAGAACGAAACTGTTTATTCTATATTGAACAATTTATTAATTTATATAAACTTTTAGTCACATATAATTTATTTAGTAATATAATAATATTTTATTGAACTTAACGTTCATTCACAATTCCATCGATCTTTAAATTCATCTCGTTCATAAATATTCTATATAAGTGGTTAAGTAAAACTTTTCAAATGAATAAATTTTTTAATTTTAGATATGCGCAGATACTGGTAGATCATATACATACGGTCAGTTGAGAAAAGCATGCGGCAAACTAGCAATGAGTTTAAGAAAAAACCAGCTCTTACCGGGAGATACCATTGCTATTATTTTACCAAATATTCCAGAATTTGCTATCATCGCACTAGCGGCAAATGAAGCCGGTTTACGCGTAAGATAAAATTGCTATTAGAAGCATTACATGTGTACTATGCAGCATGTCAAATAAATTGTAAACTGTTGTCTCTATCAACAAAAGAATCAAGCTATGATGATTCTATTTACAAAACCTATTTGCAACTTTGTGTCTACTAAAAGTTGCTAAAAAGAAACTACAATTATATAATTTAGGAGATAATGAAGTAATTTTGACAATTTTATTTAATGATAAGTTTAACAAAAAAATTAAAAAAAGTAATAACAATTAACATTAATAAAAAAATATAGTATAATGTAATAAGATATTAATTTTTTTAAAGTATTTGTCACTACATAAGCTTGTTCTAATAAGTCATTTAAATTTTTTCTTTTTAAGACAACTCTGATTAATCCTGCATATACAATATATGAAATAAAAAGACAATTAGAGAACGCGGACGTTCAAGCTATCTTCACAATTCCTACCAAATATGCTGATATCAAAACTAGTATTGAGAAAAATTCGAAGATAAAATTACCAATCGTCATTGTAAACGACGGGACTAACGCTGGCTCAATCTCAGGAACGATCCAGTTAGATGATCTTATGCGAGACGACATCGAAGATTTTTCAATTAGTCAAAAAACTGGAATAAGTTATGAAGATACCGTACTTTTGCCTTATTCCAGTGGCACGACTGGTTTGCCGAAAGGAGTGGAGACGTCTCATAAGTGTGTACATTTATTACATATTAAATATTTGAGCTAAGAAAAATGCAATTCATATAAATAAGTCTCCATACATTGAAAATTCAATACTATTATAATATCAATATAAAATAATAAAAAGATAATCAAAACATGATTTCACAGGAATATTGTTGCAAATATTATTCAAAATATAAACCCAACATTCTTCCCAGGAATAGAAGCGAATGAACACCATCAGGATATTATACCGCTAATAGTACCAGTACATCACTTTTATGGATTAATAATTGTCTTGTATTGTTACTTGCGGTATGTAAATATGTATCTTTTATGTTGACATGTATCTGTTAACTCATTTGCATAACTATAACATGTGAATGCTCAAATATGTCTATAATATTTAATGCTAAATGGTCATTTAACTTTTGATTTCATATTTTCTTTACGTACAAGGCTGACATTTCATGTAGTGTCATACAAGAGCAATTTTCGGATTTCTCTATCCTGCAATTAATCACTACGCTTAAAAAAATGATCATATGACACATGAAATGTTAAGCTAATATTTGAAACATTGAGATTTATCATAATTTCATCATGTAATGATATATATATGTATCCTACAATTATAGAATAGGTGCTAAATTAGTGTGTCTGCCAAAATTCTCTATGGACGGATTTATGAAACTGTTGGAAAATCATCGGTGCACGGCATTACATGTCGTACCACCCATCGTACAGATGATGATATACAACGAACGAATTACATCCCGTCATGTTGAATCTATAAGATTAACATTATCAGGAGCCGCACCGCTTGGAGAAAAACTTATCACAAAATTTCAAAATCGTTTCCCTAATGACATAACTTTTATCCAAGGGTAAGAAATCACTATTCAAAGAGATCAATATTACAAATACGTCTAATATATTGCAATAAGAAAAACAATTTTCATTTACAGATACGGTGCGACAGAGCTATCCCCGCTAGCTGCAATCGGTAATGCAAATGTACCATCAATATCTTGTGGTTGTTTGATTTCAAATACACAAATGAGAATTGTAAGCACGCAAGATGACACTCTAGGCAGAAATTTAGGTCCCAATGAAGTAGGAGAAATATATATACGGGGTCCACAAGTAATGAAAGGATATTACAAAAATCCCAAGGCCACAGCAGATACCATGGATGACGATTGGTACAAAACTGGTGATTTAGGGTATTATACTGAAGATGGTAAGCAAAAGAGAGATGATAAATTTAAATACCAACTTGAAAAAAATAAGACTGTGACAATTATTTGATAATTGTAAATTATAAATGTCGTGTGTATTACAAAATACAGGCGTATTGTACGTGCAAGGACGATCGAAGGAATTGATAAAAGTAAAAGGATATCAAGTTGCACCCACCGAACTTGAAGAAGTAATTCGTCATCATGATAATATACAAGACGTCGCTGTCGTTGGTGTAACACACGAAAATTATGGCGAAATTCCAAAAGCTTTTGTAGTTCCTAAATCGGGAGTTAAAATTAATGAAAACGAACTCAAAGAATTTGTCGCTAAACGTGTAGCCAAGTATAAACAATTAGGATATATACAAGTCATAGAAAGTATTCCAAAATCTGTATCTGGAAAAATTCTTCGAAGAGAACTTCAAAATCTGTAATATATTCCTCAAATATCGAGTTTCATAATCGAATTGATGTCAAGAAATTTACGAGTAAATACAAGGTAAATTTCAATTACATACATTATATTTGCATTATGTTTAATACATATTAACAAAAATGTTTATTATAACAAAAATTGACTATCTTTTTATTTGTACAAGACAGTTGTTTATTTACAGGATAATTTAAAACAAAATTATTCTTTAGATTTGTTGACACCACTTTGAGAGGATTCTTCATTTTCCGAAAGAGCACTAATAATTCCGGCTTTCTTCAATTCCTCAATAAGCTCTCCATTTTTATGCATTTCTAAGAGTATGTCGCAGCCACCCACAAAATCACCATTTATAAATACTTGGGGTATCGTAGGCCAATTAGAAAAGTCTTTTATACCTGAGTAATTAATATTAATATAGAATTAAATGTCATTAGCAATAATTAATAAACAAAAGATTTATGAAAGTATATAAAAGTTCCATCAATTTTTTATATAATGTAAATTATTCTTAAAATAATATATACGTTTTTTAAAAATATATAAAAATTTTATAAACTTTCTTTTCTCAAAAAATGGTTGTTTAACAAACATGAAAACTTGTAGCATTTGTAATAAATATTTATAATCATTTTACCTTGTCTAAGTTCTTCATTCTCGAGAACATCATGAGCATCATAAGTAACGCCATGCATACGTAATATCTGAACTACCGCATTGCTGAATCCACACCTTGGCTCTTCTGGAATGCCTTTCATAAAGATGACCACTTTATTTTTCTACAAAAAAAAAAACATGTTTAAAATAATAAGTATACATAATATTACATTTAATAACATAACCAAACAGCCACTAAAAATTTTTAAGTATTATTTCATGCTTTTCTATACAAAGATCTTATACGGGAATTACACACTTTCACTTACTTTATTATTTTTGCACGAAATATACGTTTCAAGTCAGGAAATATTTATGGAATAAGCACAAATATATCCCTATCATATCACATTCACTTACCTTAACAAGATTGCTGATTTCGTCAAATTTCGTACTAAAATTTCTGTTGATAAACAAACGTTTGGCTGCAAGACGAAACATGTTTTGATCTATTACACTAGAGAGCACTTTTGCAATTAACTGAGGTCTCTTGTTTAAGAACAAAACAGACCGTACAGGTTATGTATACCGCCGTATCTATCAGCTGTTTCAAAATTTTACTCGGGTTATAATGGAATAAGTAGCGCCATCGTGCAATATGATGGCAAAGTACTTAGCCAAAATATTTTCTTTACCTTTCTCCAAATATTATAAAAAACATTTTTTTTATAAAAAAAAGTACGGGTATTTGATATAAAAAATATATTACATCCGAAAGATTATATAAATATATCTTTCGATTTTTTCGCCTAAAGAAAGATTTAATAGGGAGAAAAGTACACACATATATGCGTATATATTTACCAAAAATACTGAAAAAGTGTACTAAAATTTTAATAAATATTTGTTTGAATATACTAACTTAACTTTTTATTAAATATTATAAACAAATATTTATTATAAAATTTAGTACATTTTTTAACTTGTAAGAATAACATATTAAACAGCATTATTAGAGAATTATTGTTTTATAGTGAAATAATAATGCCTTTTCAAATAAAGCATTAAATATCAGTCAATAATTCAAAACATTTTAAACGGTAAAATAAGAAGCAAATTATAAGAAATGAAATAAGTATTAAGTATTATTGTACATAATTAAAATTATTCGTCTGAAAATGCTAATTGCTACTATTATACGTACACATAACATGGATAGTAATTGAATTACTCACTCATCAGTACAACGCTGCTGTCTTCGCTAATTTATACTCTTATCAGAAAAGTATATAATATTCGCTCATGCGGACACAATTTGTCGGTAATATAATTCGACTCACTTTCGATGAACGAGTAAATGCCGATCATTATCGATACTAGTCGAGTAGTATGTACTATAGATATACACAATTGACGTACGTGATTAAAGACTGCGTTTTATTATACTCCCTGCGAGTAAAAAATCTACAGTATTCGTAATCTATACTACAAATTTTCAATACTGATCGCAGCAAGTAAATACTGAACGCAGCCACAAAGTAGAACCTAATAAGGTGATCGCGCGGACCAATCACAGTTAAGCATTTTTGGAAGTATTTCTACGTATTCAAACGACGCGGCACCAACTTCAGTGGACTCCGCAACTCAACCGTTTTCGGATCTGCGTGCATCAATCGTTAGATCAATAGAGATCGTGTTAGATAACTTCAGTGAACAATTCGGTTGCATTTTTTGAATCAGTTGCTCCATTCTGTTTTACTCTTAACGGCAGTGTTAATTTCGTTACAGTGCAGCGTCGTTACGCTGCAGATATTTTACGTGGTAAAAAAAGCTGCGCGCAACGACACGTAATGAAGTTATTTTATTTTGTTGATCGCGTAACATATCATAATCGGGAGAATTTCTTCCTTCTCGGGTCGAGATAGCTGAAATAGTGGAACAACTGACGAGTATAGTGATTAGGCAACAGACTGGTGAGTACGTTTGTTTCATTTCTAGCATGCAATTGAAAAACTATGAATAAGAATAAATCGCTACATTTTATGAATTTTAGATAATATTGAATTCAAATTGTATCGTTCTAAATTAAATTACGGTAGTTCTATTAAATAAATACAATGTAAATTTACTGTTTCTTATTCACGTAACTTGGGCAAATTGGGCTGTAAAAATTAGACTTCATATATTTTAAATAACTCATTCATGAGTATAAAATAAAAAAATAAGATTGAAAAACACGATAAAATATGTAACACGAATAAAAAATTAAAATTGTTATGACAAAAGCGCCCAATCGATAATCGCACTGTCTCTCGGTATCATTTTGTTCGAGTGCTTGAAATGCCCGTCAGATGTCGTTAGTATGCAGTCAAATTACTTGATGTAGATTTCTGATCTCCGTCATATCGTCAGTATCGTCACACAACTGTGTACATTTGCAGATACAATCGCGCTTTTCGAGAATTTGCTCGCGATATATTGTATCGCGAAATCGGTAGATTAATCGGAGCTGTGCAAAGTTACAAAAAAATCGTTTGCTCGGGCAAGATAATGCACGTACAATAAAGCCTTTAGCTCATTTCGATATCGAATTTGACCTCCATCAATGACCTAGCTATGTTTAACACATACAAAACACACACACACACACACATATACGAAATGCGTCGTACGAACAACGATTGCATACGAATATCGAATCATATTATATACACAATACGAGACATTTTTCTAAATTTAAATAAATTATAAAAAAATATTTGGAATTATAATTTTCCTTGGGGAAACAAATATTTCCAATAACTAAATAAATATTTGAGAGAATGTTCCACATTTATACCATATTTTCTACAATTTGTGCCAAGATTCTAAATAATTTAATATTTGATCAATATCAGATAGTTCCACAGTTCAGTTAGAAACTGGTTACATATTAGTTCCATCAAACTAATGAGAAATATTTCTTACTCTCGTCTCTCCTAGATCTCTCGTGAGACACGTAAATATCCTTGAGAATACGAAGAAAATTTTATCTTATTTATATCTATAGAAACACACACACATGCATATTAACAGCCAGTTAGTCGTTAGAAACGTGCTGAATGCTTACTAGAAACCCTGCTCGTAGCTATTACGAAAATATTTTACCAATCTTTCCAATAAATAAACAGATAGAAATACATGACGATTTATTGCGAGAATGTTTATCCACTTTTATCGATGAGATTTCATTTTTTTCCAACATTAAATAGTTTGTTCCTGCAATTTTGAGTGTATATATATATATGTATATAAGACAATTACTAAAATATTAGGTAAAATAGCATTCAGACTTTTTCTTAGGCACGTAAGATAATATAATGTTGAATTAACTGAAAGATCCATAAACAAAATTTGTTGAAGCGATTCTTTTTATTTGTGTATGTATATATGTAGGTAAAACGCATACATATGTATTTAATAGAAAGGTAACGCCGTGCCGGATCGATTCGGTGCCGGCAACGTCCGCACGATACTAACTTACGTTTTCCGGAATACATTCCGGCTCGTAAAATTTCAGTCGCCGACTGATTTTGGAGGCAGACGGCTTGCGCAAGCTGTTTGACATCATAAAAATGTCGTGATATATCGTAAAACGCTTCACGCTGTCGGATTGTTGCCGTGCGGCACGTGCTGCCATTTATTTGCTCGTAACGTTAGTCGGGAAATTCTTCAAGTATTAAATAATTACTCCGTTATGCATACATTATTTCGATAATACTGATAGTAACAAATAACATTTATTAAACTAATATTGATAATATCGATTGGCACATTAAAAAGTCTTTCTACCCGACGTATATAATTGACTTCTCGATAATCGATAAAAGAATTTATTAGAAAATGCGAGAAAGCAGAAATGTTTTAAAATAGTATAGAAATAACGAAAATAAAAGATTACTTAGAATACTACATGTATATAATACATATATATATTTACGTATAGCTTTTTTTAGTATAGTTACGTATACTAAATTTTTTCAATTTTATTTTTTCATACATTAAAAAAAAAAAGTACAATTTAATACTATTATTTAAATTGTTATATAAAAAAATATATGCAAGAAAATTTTGTCGAAAAACGTATGATATGCGCAAAATTTACGCAGAAGTCAATTAAGGAATCGATATTACTATATGTACGTAAAATCACACATGATACGTAACAAGTGACGTCATATTGGAAATGTCGAAGAATCCTAATGACGTTGTCGAAACGCATATGTGCATGCGCGGACACCGTATGCGGTGATGACGCAATAAAAATTTCTCGGAAAAATTCTCGTGGGTGTTACTGGTGCCCACGTGTTCCTCCGTGATTCGTGACGTCACAGGATAAAATCATGGTCACTATGGAGACTCGAACGGTCTCTCCTCATTCCCTCGGACGCCCACGAGGTTTAAACTTCCGCTGCCGGTGCGAACGTCACGCCCTGTTTGACGGGTAAAGATGGGTAGGTGTTGTGGTAGGTCCGGAATAAAAGTCCGAAAATAGCAACAGGTATACGTTACAAAGCGAAAATCTTTTGCAAATATAAAAGATATTTTTTTTGCACAACGGTGATATTAGTCGCAACGTATATAATTGATCCGTATGTAATTAGAAAGAGTTTCGAAGATACAATATTTGTAATGTTTATTCCATGCAACGCGCGGTACGTAAAATATTCATATACTCTGCTCTTTTATTTAAAATAATTTCTGTATGAATATAATAATTTCTGCGTTCAGCGATCCTTTAAACCTTCAAACATAACTAGACAATAATGATATACATCCTATTTCTTGAGAAAGGCAAACCCGAAAGGGTCCAAAGAACCCTTGCGAATTCTACCCTTCGTTCATTTGCATAACATAAGATTATTTCGATAGATAAATTCCAGTTTGCTTAACTCTGTACCATAGACAGCCTGTTTGATCCTGGTTCCTTTTCTATTTTAAACTGGAATGCTAGAAAAAGATTAGGCGACCATTACTCGTAGGTCTATTAAATGAGAAGGCTCCAAAACTCGCAGAGGCTAACTATATATTTACTTAAAAAAAAGTAAAAGGAAAGTGGAAAATAATGTCACCAGCATTACAATAGGTAGTGATGATTAAGTATTAAGATAGCGGATGATAAATATTTTAATACGAATATCGTGACGTGAATATTACATTATCATAGTATGGCTCCGCAATTTTACAGTAAAGTATCTAATATTTTTATGTTTTTATGTACGACAGTAAAGGAAATAGTAGTTTTATTTTTATCTTTTTTTTTTAATCTAAGATCTAAACAACTAAGAAAGAATAATCTCGTTATTAATATATGTATAATTAAAAAAGTAATTGGAAGAAAGTCGTAAAGTCGACTAAATTAACACAAATAAGACTTATATCTGTTATACGTTTATATATTATTATTTGGTTCGAATTTGTAATTATTACTTGTAAATGCTCTTGTAATGCAAAATTTAGTTAAAAAGTAAAAAAACAAGTGAATAATAAGGACCATATTTATTCAAAAGCAAAACAGTTGCGCAACTTTACATCAACGAACA